CCTGCAGCACACTGTGTATAATGAGAGAAAAAAAATTAAATCATGATTTTTCGATTAAAACAGCAACTTTGCAGTGTTTTTTTCGTATGTTTTTTATAGTTGTATTTGCGATTCTTGGTCTCATTTGATAATGAATGGAAGACATATTTTACAGAAATAGAGATGACTTTGATTGGTTTTGGCACGGAAATGGCTTGAAACTGAAGCTCAAAGTAGCAGAAATGTATAAATCTTTTTGCCGATCTTCACAGAGTAAACAAACGACGCTCATCCAACGTCCTAATACACGTCCGCTGGTGGGTCTAATATACATGTCACAATATGGTGATGAATATTTATACATTATTACAGTATTTGCATAACAGTAAAATCTTCTATTTTTTTGGTGTGAATAAGAATTCGATTATGTTGAATAAAAAATCAAAATGGAATTTATTTGTAAAGCCTCAAAACAATAACTAATGAAACAGAGGAAATTGTTAGTTGATGCCAGGAATGCTACATTGTTCAATTCTGGATCCCCTATTTTGAAATTGGAATATTTAAACTTTGTGTTAAATGGCCCAAATTAACAATTTCTGATCCACTTTATTTTGTAGTTGAAACAGTTATTTGGCGATTTCATGTGCTCAATCGATAGAATAGAAGTAATGACTAGTGAAATAGCTAAAAATTTGGTTGATTGGAATAATGTAATTGGGCCTAAAATGGGAGTCAAAGTCGCAAAATCGCCGATTCGTAAATATCGCAGACACATCAAAATCGTGAGAGCATAATTTCGTCAATATTCCACAAATTCCGTACTTTTTTGTTTATATTACCTTCACAAAAAGATTCTCCTACGATTTCCTAAGAAAAAATAAAAAAATTTTTTTTTGAAAATTCTTGGACACTGTGTGCGTGACTCCATGATTTGGGCCTTTTTGACCCTGAAAAAGGGTTAAGTAGAGCACAATACTGATTTTGTTCCATACTTTGATTTGGTCATAATAAAAAGCAATCCTTTTGGGTTTCTTCAATTTCATTTATGGCTTTTAGTTCTTTTCACATTTTTTGACTCCTGAAAAGATTCTTTAGTTCAATGTTTGCTATTTCTCTGGGCTAGAACTCCATTTTTTTCTATCCAATGAGTACAAGAAACACAGCCAATTACACCAATTTCAACTATCCCGATAAGTGTCAGAAATTAGCAATTTTGCCAATTTCACACATAAATTCTAAAAGATGCCATTTCCAAATAGTGGTCCGAATAAAAAAGACAGAAAATTCCTGCACTAAAATAACTATTCCTCTGTTTCATTAGATCATGTCCCTCATGCCCCTCTTACATTTCTTTCCACTTGAATTTTTATTCTCAAAAATAGAAATTTACTTGTTATGCAGACACTGCATATAGTGTAGAAATAGTTTAACTAATATCAGCACACTTTTTTGTGAAAAATATTTGACTCACCAGTTGACGTGTATTGGACACGTGCATTATTTATTTACTATTGAACAAACTTTAGTGCGGTTAACTGTGTTCAATACATGAGATAATATATAATAAATTATATACAGTATTGGTCTCCTCAGGCCCCAAATGTTAGTAGGATAAGAAAAAAAAATGGAAAAGAAGAGAAAATAACTACAAAAACTGCTAAATAGAGTAATGCACGTATAGGAAATCGTCGATGTTGCCGGCCACCACGTCCAATTTGGACAAACTTCTCGCACTGTATCTCGGTAAACTGATCAGAATTTTTTTTTTGTCCTTATTACCTTCTATACAAAAATATGCTCTTTAATTCTGTACGAAAAAAATAATTTTTTTTTTTTTTTTCAAAATTTTCTTGACACTTGGAGCACCACTTCAGATTTTGGCCTTGGACTCTGAGAAGGGTTAAGGTTATTGCTTATCATAACCCCCCAAGATTTCTTTTTGCCATCTGTATGGTGCTAAAGTTCTACTTTATTTAACTTATAGGTGCTATGACTTGGACACTTCCTGAGCTCAGAACCTTGCAATTTTATCCTACATTGAACTGCATCTGCCACTTATTCTGACCAGTACTGAGGTTTTGTCACCTAAATCCTCCTGAAGTTCCCTGATATCTACATTTGAATCAATTATCCTACCTACTTTGTGTCACGGCGAATTTGCTCATTTTCACTAGTAAATCCCTCATCAAGATCATTGATACATATAAACAACAACAGTCCAAGACGGATCCCTGTGGAACGCCACTTGTTACAGATCCCCTCTCGGATTTAACCCATTTATGGACTCTTTGCTTCCTGTCAGTGAGCCATGACTCAATCCATGAAAGCACTTTTCCTCCAAATGCCATGAATTGCCACTTTTCTTAACAATCTGTGGTGCAATAACTCTATCAAAAAGCCCGTACGTAATAATCTAAATAAATAATTTCAATTCTTTATTTGATCAACAGCCCTAAAGCTTTACTGAAGCTTTTGAACGGCTACCTTCGTCGTGAACTTGCTGAGTATCATTAATTAGATTATGCTTATCAGATGGCTTCTTATAATCCTAGTAATTTTGCCTACAATTGATGTCAGACTTATTGGTGTTAATTTTGATGGAACGACATGCACCTGCTTAACCCTTTCATGGTTTCTGTCATACTATACAGCTTACGCACCAGAGTTATTCGACGTACTAGAATGCCTAAATCTATCGATCACCTTCAAATCTATTGAGAGAAAGCTGGTAGCCTACATATGAAAGAATGGGTCTATGTGGACAGTGTGCACAGTAAAAAAAAAATCTTGCAGCGCACAGTGCATAATGAGAAAAAAAAAAAACTGGTGTTTTTGGTTAAAACAAGCGACTTTGCATTGTATTTTTCGTATGGTATTCATGGTTTGTATTCTAGTTTTCCTGGTCTCATTTTATAAGAATGGAAGACTATTACGAAATGTGAGATGATTTTGATGGTTTTTCCATAATGAAAATACCTCTGAAAATTGAGCTCAAAATAGTCAGAAAGGTTACGATTGTTTACAACTTTCAAAAGTAAAACAGATCATGCCAAGTTGTCCAGTACACGTCACTAGTGAGTCTGATATTCTCCACAAGTGCACTGACATTTATTTATACCATTTCTACAACTAACACAGTAGTCTGCTTTACAGTAAATCATCTATCTTTTGTGAGAATAAAATTCAAAGTGAAGCAAAACGAGTAAGAGGGCCTGGGACATAATAATGAACAGTGAAATTAGTTATTTTAGTGCCAAGGAAATCTGTCCTTGCTTATTCTGGACCCTATTGGAAAATGGCATCTTCTGAATATTTTGTGAAATTGGCAAATTGCGATTTTCTGACCACTTTATTGATACATTGAAATCGTGAATGGTGTGTTTTCCTTGTACTCATTCGATTGAAAAAAAATGAGGATTTCTACCGAAATAGATATCTTTTTGTTGACTATACACTGAGAAATAATTGGTGAAAATAGGGCTCAAAGTGGGTGAAATCGGCTGATGTGTTCAGCACGTATCGATGAGACCGCTAACTTCGTGAGAGCATACTCCGTAAGTTTTTCATAAAATTTCATACTTTTGGATTCATTATGATTGGGAAAAGATTCTCCATCGTTTCATAAGATTTTTTTTTTTTTTTTTTTTTTTTCCCTGAAAAATTTTTATGACCCTGAGGTGAAAAACAAGTTTAGGAGAGGCCCTAATTGACCCTGAAAGGTTTAAAAATAGTGAATTACATTACCAGCTTCCACATATCAGACACTACACCTGTTTGAAAGAGACATAAATTAAAACATTAGTTAATTGGTTCACTAGAGTTCCATTTTTCATCTCCTTTAAGAACCCTTGAAAATTGCTCATCAGGTCCCTGTACTTATTTTGCTTCAGTCGGTCTATTTTTCATAACCATTTCACTAGTGACTGTGATGTAACATAAAATTGTTTCTTCTCAGGCCCACTATAAAAATTAATCACTGAGATATTGTTGTGTCTTCCTGTGAAAAAACCAAGAGAAAATAATTATTTTAAAAATCCAAGCACATTTCATTCTCTGTGGCAGAAGATGCCACCTAGTTATTTTTAATGGGACCTATCTTATGTTAACTTTCGGTTTCAATACACCTGGAAAAAACTTTTTGGGATTAAGTTTTTGATCTTTAGCCTCTGGATGTACTTCGAGATGTATCCTTCCCTTTGGAACAGCATACGGTGGCACTACCAGATCTATACCGTTGTATATACTGACGCTTCACTTGATTGAATCAGACTCATCAGTAACAAGCTTCCTGACAGGATAAAAATAATATTGAATTTCTGTTTCAGATACACAAACACATCTTTATTCTTATATAATCCTTCATTTCTGTCAGGCCTGGTTTTGGTCAGAGTAGTGAAACACGTAGCAGCGAGCACAAATTGATTTACTGGTATAATATCACTGAAACCTGGGTTGCAATCAGGCTGTCTGATGACCATATAAATGACACTGTGCTTATACACATAGTGGCATTAGCATATTGTTGCAAACAAAAAGATACATCTCAACTACAGTTTTGTCTCTTTCCACTGTTTAGACGTGATTTTGGTGGAAATATTGTGTTTGTCATGGTGTAATCGAAGTATCTGTTGCTTTCCCTGACAATAATTTTCCATCAGGGGGTTTGTCTAAGAATAACTTGAAACATTCTATTCAGTGGCATTGGTTCCCAGTGTACAAGAGGCCATATTCCACTTTACTCTTCATAAGTGATGGGGATGGGAAACAAAATTGGCAGCTTCCTGCCAATCCCAGGTGCTGTCTGCTGGTGGGTACAGGAATACTGACAAGGTGGTTGGTGGAGGTTGGTGTGGTGGTGGGTGGGGAATGGTGGCCTTTGTTGTATGTTCAGCTGAGTCAGCAGCGAGGTGGCAGCATGGCCCACTGCTGGCCTCCTGGCTGTCACCAACCACTACCACCCATCGATGCAATGCACATTTTCCATCCCAACTGCAACGACTATCATCTTCATTTTCACTATGTGTTCCTTTTGTACAGCCACGGGATTTACTCCTGAGATGTGCTCCTTCCTTGGAATAGCACATGGCACACATATACCAGAGCGCATATACTGTCGTATGTAAGCTGATGCTTCATCACTGGTAGAATATTCCTGCTTCACTCTCGCTACAGGAACTGTATACCAAGAGCTTGTAGTTCCATATTCACGATCACTATCATTCCATTGCTCACGATCTGAGCCCTGGATATGGGAAAATGCTAGTTTCCCCCTCTTTTGTCTGATACCACAGACCATGCACAAGACGGCCCAGCACCAGAGGTGGAAGGTTGAGGGGTCACTGGATTTTCCCACTATCGCTGGTATTATGGTCATTAGTTTTCAGTCACAACCTCATCAAAACCTTGAAACTCATTTTCACTGACACTTCCTCCATCTTTATTAGAACTGTCACTGGAAGGAACATAAGTGTCCTAATCGCCAAGAGGAGGAGTTTCTTACCGCGAGGCATGGTGGAGCCAACGGATAGTAAAATGGCAATCCCCACAATGCATCACTTGGGTCCCTAAAACTTTTCCTACCTCGCACACTGACCACACAGGCCCATTCTCACATCTAGGCCTACCACTGTTTCCCTCCCTTTCCCCGCTTCATTTGAAGCCACTGAGTTTACACTACTAGTATGTCACAACCCTGGGATACGCAATAAGCGTACTAGTAAGGCATCAACCCTGAAAGGGTTAATTAGTTTGATGGAGGAGATGCTAGGCAGAGGTATTTAGGTGGTTGAATAGATTAGCAGGGCAGTCATATGTTCCTGTGGCCCTATACACCTCCAACAATGGTGGGAGAGTTTACTATTCTTGCCGTTTTCATCGCTTAATTTGCTTACTTTACTTGCTACAACGTTAATGCTACTCTTTAACGCTGGCTGGCACTAAAGCCTTTATCGATACCTGCTGTTTGAGGTATCATACACATCGAGTGAGGCTATATTTTACCCGAAAAAAACTTCGCTGAAATCAGATTTCACACGAAAGTCGCAGCCCGCTGAAAGGTGGAGGGTCCACTGTAATGTAAAAAAAAACTACATTTAGGGAGCTCTTCATCTTCTTTACAGTGTCAGGTATGACCTGCAGTTTTTGCTCAACTCTTTCCACTTCATTAAAATGCTGCCACTTGAGCTACCTTTCTTATTTTGGGAAATAGAGAGACAGAGAGAGAGAGAGAGAAATAAGAAAGAGAAAAAAGAGAAAGAGAGACAGAGAAAGAGTGACAGAGAAAGACAAGAAAGAGAGACAGAGAAGAGAGATCAGAAAAAGAGAGACAGAGGATGAGATATGTTGGCTGCCTGGAGAAGAAGTTGATATCCTTGGGGGAAATTTGAGACTCCAAACTTACCATGAATGGGAACCATGGTGTGTAAATCTTGCAAACAAGCAGCCAGGAAGCTACAGCACTTCGCCGTATCTCGCATCTGCTTTGACAGTAGGGGTTGCAAGAATCCTTACGAGGCACAAGTACGCTCACACCTTGTTGATATGCTCCACTTTCTTGGTTTACCTGCCCCCCTCCTCTCATCTGTCCGACTGCTTTTGACCAGAGTAGAGAACAGAGCAAGAACGTCTCATCTCTCGGCCTGGACCCCATCATGGATAGATCTGTCATTTCAGCAGAGCCTTCAACATAGGAGGGAATGTGGTGGCCTTACTGTTATGTACAAGGCCAATATTGTCAAAATAACCACACTTGGATCCACTTTCGAGGACAGCGTGAAACAAAGCTTTTAATTAATGCCACAAGACGTGCTTAAAAGCAGATCTTCACTCTGGTTGTACCCTTCTCCAGACATCAACTCCATCTAGATCATACAAACCCAGGATGACTCAAGTATGGAACACATTCGTAGCAGCATAATATGTCAACGAGATAAAGTCAGTGATCAAAAGAAAATGCTGGCCCACTAGATGGCTCCAACCTTCATCCCTGTTTCCGTACTTGTTATGTCTCATAATCAATAAAAATGCTTTCAAATGAGCTGATGTAGGTAACAGCTCTTAGCTTGCCCAATAAAGTTAGGAAATCCTAAACCTGTAATATACTGTCAATTAAAGCTAGGGATCCTTAACCTGGTCAACCCGTGTAAAAAAAAAAAAGACAGAAAGAGAGAGAGAGAGAGAGAAGAGAGTACAGAGAAAGAGTGGAGAGAGTGAGTGAGTGAGTTCTGAGTCAGGATTTTGGTGGCAGTTAATACTCATGGAACTATAACTGCACCTGAACACCTACTGTGCCAAAGTACGAACACCAGAGACACATCGTCAGAACTGTAGAGGAACGTGGAAGAGATGGTGGAGGAGGAAGACATCTACAGGCCGCCTCACTCTCCACTAACACAGTCCCAGCAGCAGAACCTGAGGACAAATCAGCAAAACCCAGAGGTACAACAAATCATAGACCACCCTCCCAGGCACCTAGGCAGTGCTTTCGTTCGCTGTTACACCCGAAGGGCACACCACCAACAACTGCCTGCGAGAAATACCAGTGCAATTACAGCTACAAGAAAGGACATCAGGAGGAACCATGTCCGGAAGAAAAAGGAACTTGACAGACAGGAACCACCTTTTAGAGACCTGTTCTCGAACAAACCAGCAGGATTCTGATTGGTGAACACTCTCACACATCACCTCACTCAGACTACTCCTATCTCAGCCCAGCAGGTGGTATTGTGCCTTTACAAGACCACAGACTTACATCCCTGCAGCTGCCTCAGTACCCTACCTCTCTCAGTGCAGGCACCTACATGCCTACACACACCCACAGCCCCAAGCCTGAAACCACATCATGAGGAGCCAGTCTATAAGCACCCTGTTGGCCAACATTAGATGTTTCATTAACTAATTTGGAAGCTCCTCACGTTTTGTGAACACTCGACTCTGACATGAAAGTTGTTGTAGAAACATTTTTGGATGTCAGGACTCCATAAAATTTTTGCAAGAATTGCTGGCTACACCTCATGGATGAGAAGAGACAGGCAAGGGCAAGGAGGAGGTTTTGCTGTGTGCTTTCTCTAAAAGTGTTCATGCCCAGCACATTGTGTTGCACACGCCCTACTCACTCGAAATGGATGTTTCTTCAAGCTCTGCATAAACACTAGTATCTACTGTACTAGCATGTGCAATTGTACAGACCTCATGAGGCAACCATGAATTGACCCCATCAACTTCCTAATGGAAAATATGGGACTCCTCTGCTACGAAACGCTACTGTCAACATATCATAAATTTGTTGGTGACCTCACCAACACTTATACAGAGGACTTTGATGACCTTCTTGCAGTATTTGACATGAGAAACTTTGATTGATTTCCCTACTCACATCTCTGGCTCCTCACACCTTGACCCAGTATGAGTGACTGGCCAGAAGGCATAGTCACTTTGTCAGCCCCTTGCTACGTTGATCACTGACCCACAAGGCTGTTTTTACGACACTTAGATCCCACAGAACGAGGTGAGGAGTCCCACACGCACAACCTGGCTATGGGAAAAGAGGTAATTGGCCAGCCTTTGCTCCTAGCTCGCCATCACCGAGATTGAATGGCTCTTCTCTAAGGGGATGTTGACAACCAAGTGAAAGTTTTTCACTGAACACATCCTTATCTAACAACAAGAAACACATTCCTCACCGGCAATACATGACGAAGCAACAATCAGCCTGGTTTAGGCTTTCGTTGTATAGAGGCTGCTACTGCTAAGTACAAAACATGGCAAAGGTATAAGAGACATCCTACCATTCTCCTATAACAGGAACTTGCACAGGCAAAACCTGTAGGCTTATGGGTGACATACAAAGTCTGGGGCCCTTGCTAAATGGGAGGTGGACACAAAAAGAAACTACATCAGGTAGGGTAGCTGCAAAACCTGGTGGTCCCTGGTCAAGGACAGACAAAGGTATCTGCCTGATGAACTCATTCCACACCTCTAAACACAGGAATGGGACCCACTCTCTAATATAGTCCAAGAGAAGGCGGAACCTCTATGCTCAACATTTTGCTACCAAAATGCAAGTTCCTGATCCAGCAAGGGATCCCTCCCATGGCTAGCTCAAGAACTGTGTCAAAACTGTCCCAGTGGTGACAGTAAGGCAGGGAGGAGGTGTCATTTCCTTCTTAAATCACTTGACCAAGAAAAGACGTGCCCAGACAAGTTGAGCCAAGATTGGTTGAGAAGATGTGCATAACTCAGCTAGCAGCACACTCTAACTCGCATCTTTCAGCACGCTGTCTATACAGTGTAAAATATGGCCCTCTCTGTGGAAAGAGGCAAATGTAGTCCCCTGTTCACAAAAAGAAGAGCAGAGCAGAAATCAGTAACTACATACCAGTGTCACTCCTGTCAATCAATGTTACGATCCTTAACAATAAACTCAAGACAAATGACAGAGGTTATTTTTGACTACCACTCACTACTTTGTGATCGTCAAATATGGCTTCAGGAAAGGTTTTCTCTGTTGCTGACTTTGTTAAACCTCTTCACTAAGTGGCACCCAGTCACTGGATGAATCCAAAGTCACTGTGTGGTAGCACTGGACATTGCTGGTGCTTTCGACCGGTGTGGCACCAGGCCTCTTAGACAAATACTTCAGCACTGGGAAATGCAGGCTCTACACTATGTCTCCTCATGATTACCTTCAGGTAGATCTCTAAGGTAATCTCAGTGGAACAGAATCAGCAAGAACATCCTATTGGGGCAAGTGTTCCTACCAAGGAAGTGTGCTTGGACCATTGTTATGGAATGTCTAACTTCAATGACCTTCTTTATCCATCCCAGAATCCCATGCATATGACAGACGACTGTACACTGACATTCACTTATCCAAGAGAAGAAATGCCAAGCTGTTCTAAGCTATCATCAGTCACCAGCTAAGAGCTATATTCACTTGGGGAAATAGAAGCTAGTAACATTTGCACCTGAGAAAACACAAATGATGATGGTCTCTAGGCACCATGATGGTCATGCTGGTGCAATAGTAGGATGAATGGGGGAGGTGTTGGCACTGGGGAAGAACGTTTGATATCCATGGGGTGGACAAATTTGACTCACAAACTAACCATGAAGAACCGTGTTGTAAATCTTACAAACAAGGCACTCCAGGAAGCATAACAGCAACTTCGCCCAAATCGCTCTGCTTGGCAGTATGGTTGCAAGATTCTGTACGAGGCACAAGTTATGCTCACACCTTGATTATGCTCCACTTTCTTGGTTTGAGCCTGCCCCCCCTCACATCGCAACGCTTGACAGAGTAGAGAACAGAGCAAGACGTCTCATCTCTTGCCTGTATCGTCCTGGATAGATCTGTTCACTTGATCAGCAGAGCCTTCAAACACAGGAGGGATGTGTCTGGCCCTTGCTGTTATGTACAAGGCCAATATTGTCAAAATACCACACTTGGATCCACTTCAAGGACAGCGTGAATCTAAGCTTTTATGCTATAAGACCTGTGGCAGAAAGCAGCAACTTCACTCTAGCTGTACCCTTCTCCAGAACTTCAAGGCTGCGGGGGGGGGGGGAGATCAAATATACCAAGGATATCTTTGAAGTATGGAACACATTCGTACAGCATTAATGATGTCAATGAGATAAATCACATGATCTGCAAATGAAAATGCTGGCCACAGATGGCTCCCAAACTTCATACCTGTTCCCTAACTTTTATGTCTCAAAACAAAAAAAATGCTTTCAATTGAGACATGATGTAGGTAACAGCTCTTAGCTTTGCCAATAAATTAGGAATCCTTAACCTGTAAATACTTGTCAATAAAGCTAGGATCCTTAACCTTTTTCAAAAAACCCTGTGTAAAAGAAAAGTCATAGGAGGAGCTAGATCTGGGGAGGGAGGGATGTAGTTGATGTGGGAAGTTTGTTATTTGCCGAAAATGATTGATCGTTCTGGCCCTTGAGTCAGCAACAGGAACAAATTCCGCAGCCACTTGCCTTGTGTCAAATTTCAATCAAACTGCTTTGACTCTGACCCATAGAAATTCCCACAGCACTTGCAATTCCTAAATAACTCTGACATCAATCTTCACTTTTCAAACTGTTATCTTTTTTGAAAACTGATAGAATGAACCAGTGTTTTTCATCATCCTCAACTGAACAGTCATCCTGCTTTAATCAAGAAAACCATTCAAACACGGGTCTGACCCATAGCTCTCGCCAAGTCTGGCTTGCTGAAGCATGTGGCTAATGAGTGTCACTTCACTAACCCATTTTAACCAAGCATGAAACAAAATTTCACACATCTCCCCTGTTCCGGAGGGATTAAAGATTCCATCGTTACCCGCCAAAAATGTAACAATACACTGAAAACATGACAAAATTTATGCCTGTCTAACCTCACAGAATGAGTAGCCAACTGAAACCTCCGCCACACTACTCCCACAAAAGGAGTGTAGCTGCTTAGTGTGATATACACCACATTTCACCCAGGAAACATGCAAAAATTAGAGAAAAGGAGCTGTTTGATAGTACCTCATATGTTTTTACTTACACTTATAAGTCTTCTTCCCCCTTATACACAGGAACTATATATTTAATTATAATGGTGTGTTCTTAAAATATTTATGTTCTTTAAATACTTGTAGGTGGTGAACGCAATTGGGTGCAAGTAGTCTGCAATGGAGGAGTGGCAAGTCTGATGGCATTGTTCTACATGATGGATTGTGGGTGTGGAGAACACCCAGTTGACCTTGTTTACAATTACCGATGTTCTTGGCTTAGTTTAGCTATTCTTGGTGTGTACATTTTGTTCTTTCCTATTTTAAGTAAATTATTATTGTAAATGATATATTAATTTGTATGAAAGATTTAGATATGTTTAAAATTTCAATTGTACTGTGACTTTAAAGTGGGATAAAAGAATTATAATGCAAATAATAGTTAAATTTTTTTTTTATTATCACAGTGGCCGATTCCCACCAAGGCAGGGTGGCCCGAAAAAGAAAAACTTTCACCATCATTCACTCCATCACTGTCTTGCCAGAAGGGTGCTTTATATACACTACAGTTTTTAAACTGCAACATTAACACCCCTCCTTCAGAGTGCAGGCACTGTACTTCCCATCTCCAGGACTCAAGTCCGGCCTGCTCGGTTTCCCCTGAACCCCTTCATAAATGTTTACTTTGCCTCACAACTACCAACAGCACGTCAAGTATTAAAAACCATTTTGTCTCCATTCATCTCCTATCAAACACAGCTCACACCTCTAGCATGCCCTCGCTGGAAGTCCAACCCCTCGCACACAAAACCTCCTTTACCCCCTCCTCCTCCAACTTTCCTAGGCCACCCCTACCCCCGCCTTCCTTCCACTACAGACTGTACACTCTTGAAGTTATTCTGTTTCGCTCCATTCTCCCCACATGTCCGAACCACACTCACAACCCTTGCTCAGCCCTATGGACAACAGTTTTGGTAATCCCCGCACCTCCGTCCTAACTTCCAAACTATGATTCCTCTGCATTATACTTCCACAACCACACATTCTCTCAACAACATTAAATCTCCACTGCCTCCAGCTTCTCCCTCCGCTGCAACATCATCAACCCCATGCTTCATCACCCATATAAGAGCGTTGGTAAAACTATACTCTCATAACATTCCCCTCTTTGCCTCCAAGGACAAAGTTCTTTTGGCTCCACAAACTCCTAAGTGCAAACACACTCACACCTTTTCCCCTCATCAATTCTATGATTCATCCTCATCTTTCAATAGACCCATCCGCTTGACACGTCCACTCCCAAATATCTGAATACATTCACCTCCTCCATACTCTCTCCCTCCACCTGAAATCCATATCTTTATCATCACCTAATCTTTTTGATATCCTCATAACCTTACTCTTTCCTGTATTTTCACTTTCAATTTTCTTCTTTGGCACACCCTACAATTCATCCACCATCTCTGCAACTTCTCTTCAAATCTCCCAAGAGCACAGTGTCATCAGCAAAGAGCAACTGTGAACACTCCGCACCCTTTATGTGTGATTCTTTATCTTTCAACTCCACCGCCTCTGCCAAGACCCTCGCATTTACTTGCTCTTACAACCCCATCTATAAATATATTAAACAACACGGTGACATCACACATCCTTGTCAAGGCCTACTTTACTGGGAAATAATTTCCCCTCTTCCTACATACTCTAACTTAGATCACATCCTCGTAAAAACTCTTCACTGCTTCAGAAACCTCCTCCCTACACATAACACCTGCAACATCTGCCACATTGCCTCCACCCTATCCACCCTGTCATACGCCTTTTCCAAAAAATTTCCCCCAAATTTTTAAAAATGCCACAAAGACCAATTTATCCCTTATGTAAATATGTTCACGTTAATATGTTTTCACTGTAAACACATTGGCCAACACCCCCTACCTTTCCTAAAGCCTCCTGTTCATCAGCTATTCCTATTCTCACGTCTTTACTCTTAATTCTTTCATAATACCTCTACCATACACTTTGCCAGGTATACTCAACAGACTTATCCCCTATAATTTTTTTTGCACTCTCTTTTATCCCCATTGCCTTTATACAAAGGAACTATGCTGCTCCTCTGGCATCCCTAGGTACATTACCTCTTCCCATACATTTATTAAATAATTGCATCAAACCAACCACTTCCAAAACCTTTTATCCCCACCTGCTTTTAACATTTCTAATGTTTATTCCCATCAATACCCCCCCTGCTGCCTTACCCGCCTTTCATTTTCCTTCTGGCCTCACGAACTTCCCCCACCCCACAACTGCTCCTTTCCTCACTCCTACAAATGTGTTCCTCCTTGCCCTATACACGAAATCACAGCTTCCCTATCTTCATCAACATTTAACAATTCCTCAAAATATTCCTCCATCTTCCCAATACCTCTAACACTCCATTTATTAACTCTTCATCTCCTATTTTTTAACTGACAAATCACAATTGTTCCTCTAGGCTTCTTAACTGTTAATCTCACTCCAAAAAACTGTTTTCTTAATTTCAACAAAATTTTGTTGGGATAACATCTCACCCACTCCTCTCATTTGCTCATCTTTTACACTGCTCATTCACACTCTTAACCTCTCTAACCTTTTTCTCCATATACTCTTCCTCTTTGCATCACTTCTACTTTGTAAAAAACTCTCATATGCTAACTTTTCTCCCTTACTACTCTCTTCACATCATCACCACCAATTCGCTCCTCTCCTCCCGCACCCACTTCCCTGTAACCACAACTTCTGCTGAACACTCTAACACTACATTTTTAAAACACCCCATACCTTCTTCGACCCCATTGCCTATGCTCTCACTAGAGCCCATCTAATCCTCCAATAGCTGTTTATATCTTAACCCTAACTGCCTCCTCTTATAGTTATAAACCTCACACTCTCTCATTCCTGATGCTTCTATTTCTCCTTGTATCCCATCTACCTTTACTCTCAGTGTAGCTAACAACTAGAAAGTGATCTGATATATCTGTGGCCCCTTTCAATAAACATGTACATCCCTGAAGTCTATCAACAGTCTTCTTATCTACCAATACATAATCCAACAAACTACTGTCATTTCGCCATACATCAATCTTGTATACTATGTACCTTCTTTCTAAAATATGTATTACCTATAACAAGCCCTTTCTATGCAAAGTTCATCAAAGGGCTCCCATTATCGTTTACACCTAGCACCTCCAAACTTACCTACCACACCCTCTCTAAAAGTTTCTCCCCATTTTTCTTTAAGCATTCAGGTCCCCTACCACAATTACTCTCTCACTGGTTCAAAGCTCCTATAACATTCATTAACATCTCCCAAAATCCTCCTCCTCTCTCCTCTGCATTCCTCTCTTCCCTCCAGGTGGCAACACGCTTATTAATGACCCACTTCTCTTCTCGCATCCAACCTTTACTTTAATCCACATAATTCTGAATTTACACATTCATATTCTCTTTTCTCCTTCCATACTGATGCATTCAACATTACTTGCTACCCTTCCTTTGCTCTAACTCTCTCTCAGAATACTCCAGATTTAATTCCCATTTATTTCCCCCACCGAAAACCTCCCCTAACCCCTTCAGCTTTGTTTCGCTTAGGGCCAGGTCATCCAACTTCTTATTCATTTCATAACATCAGCAATCAATCTGTTTTCTTGTCATCCGCACTACATCCACGACAACATTTAAGCATTCCAGTTTTATAAAGTTTTTCTTCTTCTCTTTTTAGTAAATGTCTACAGGAGAAGGGGTTACTAGCCCATTGCCCCAGTCATTTTAGTCGCCTCATGCGACACGCATGGCTTACGGAGGAAAGATTCTTTTCCACTTCCCCATGGACAATAGAAGAAATAAAGAGGAACAAGTGCTATTTAGAAAAAGGAGAAAAACCTAGATGTATGTATATATATATATATATGGCATGCATGTCTGTGAAGTGTGACCAAAGTGTAAGTAGGAGTAGCAAGATATCCCTGTTATCTAGCGGGTTGTTTATGAGACAGTAAAAGATGAAAATTGATGAAAATTAAATGAGTAATGTGTTAAATGAGACTGAGAAATGCTTTTAATATTCTTATGTGAGAAATTGAATGTGAAGAACAGACTTAAATGAAGTTGATAATTATAATGTTGATAAAGAGAATTCAATTTCAGTCAGCCTGAGTTAGTTAAAATTTAATACCTTCCAAGGTCTACTGGGCTACTAGGTTACTTCCCTCAAGGTAGGTTCCTTGATTCAAGGAATAACCAGATCTTCATTTGATCAAGCCTCACTTCATCCTATTCCCCAAGGTGCTGTATATCTCCTACAGGTTTAACACATTATTATGAATAATATAATAATAATACTAGCTCACCAGCTTTAGAACTTTTGTAAAATTGTGAGCTTATCTTTTAACCCTTAAAAGCATGTGATCGGGGCTTCTTGCAGTTCTTAATGAACACTAAGTTCATGAGTCTGGGCCTGCGACAGAGTGCATGGGCATGTCATTTATCGCCTTTTCAAAGTCATTTGGCATCAGGATAATATCAGATAGGTGTGTGTCTACCACATTCTGTCTATCTTTCTCATAAAAAATTCATTTAGGTCTTCAACTCTCAGTCTGGTTGGCGACTCACTAAAAAGCGAGTCGTATTGGGACTTTAGCTCACTCATTTCTTTGCTGTCATCTGTGTAGGACCCATCCCATTTAACCCTTTCAGGGTCCGTCCCGTAGACAGCTACGGCTTTAATACGTTCAGGGTCCAAAACCGAATCTATGCCACTGAGCTCAGCTCACTCCTGATAAACTGTGAGTGTACATGGGCCTAGATATAAGAAACATCTATGTGGTATAGTGCACCACATAAAACAAGATTCCTGCAGCACACTGTGTATAATGAGAGAAAAAAAATTAAATCATGATTTTTCGATTAAAACAGCAACTTTTTGCAGTGTTTTTTTCGTATGTTTTTTATAGTTGTATTTGCGATTCTTGGTCTCATTTGATAATGAATGGAAGACATATTTTACAGAAATAGAGATGACTTTGATTGGTTTTGGCACGGAAATGGCTTGAAACTGAAGCTCAAAGTAGCAGAAATGTATAAATCTTTTTGCCGATCTTCACAGAGTAAACAAACGACGCTCATCCAACGTCCTAATACACGTCCGCTGGTGGGTCTAATATACATGTCACAATATGGTGATGAATATTTATACATTATTACAGTATTTGCATAACAGTAAAATCTTCTATTTTTTTGGTGTGAATAAGAATTCGATTATG